ACACCAAAAGAACATTAGAAATCTTAAATTTTTCAGACCTAACATCAATATTTGCATCACCAACATGTAAAATAGTCAATTGCTCATCATTGTCAACCATGACCCCCATCTCTACCACTATAAGAGTGAAGGTTTTGCAGTTTACCTACGTCTCCTGTCAGGCACCAGTGTCTGAAAACCATTCCAAGTTTTAGGAATTTGCTATAATCATCACAACAAGAGCTTGATGAATATCTTTTTCTTGGTACATATGATTGAATCAGTGCTATCACTTTAATGCAGTATGTCCAAATTTTCTACAAATTTGACACCTTCTTGGGGTGTTTAAGCTGATTGCTCTATTTGTACCATGAAGAATTTTAGACAGAGAAAGAAACTTTAATTGTACCCCACACTTTTCATTGTGGTGGTTCTTTCATTATATATATAATAGTGATACAATGGTATAATAGAAAACTTTTCTATCTTATTACATACAATACTTACTTTCATATCTTCTTACGTTCTCTCAAAAGGAAAGAGTAATATTGCTATGGTTGCCTTTTCAAAACTAAGAAAGAGTAATATTTCTATGGTTGTCTTTCCAAAACTAGGATTCTTGACTTTTGTTTATATTAGCCAGCACTCTAGGAGATATGGAAATAGAGAATACCGCACAAAATTCAGGCTTTTATATGGTTTTTGGCACAAGGTAAGGTTTTAACTATTGATAAGCTTAGAAAAAGCGGCAAAATTCTTAGAAAAAGCGGCAAAATTCTAGTCAATGTCTGCATTTTTTGTAAAAATGATGAAAAAAACGGGGATCATCACTTATTTCTTCATTGCCCTTTTCCTTATTCCATGTGTTCATGAATAATGCAACAAATAGGGATTTCTTTCGTTATTCTTCTGCCTTTAACATTATTACCCAAATGGAGTACTTGGGGTTCTCAAAGTTTGGAACTAATCTTTAGAATATTTTTAGGGGGACTAATCTTTTGGAGGCTGTGGCAGGAAGGGAATAGAAGAGATTTTGATGATGTGGCTTTAGAATTTCAAGATATTAAAAGAAAAAATCTTTTCAAATGTATAGAGTTGATTTAGAGTAAGGAAGGAGGGATTGGAGATATCTCGTGTTGATATTGAACTTAATTTCACAAATCTGCTCTCTATGTGCCTATTGAAGGTGAGGGCGAGGAATGTTTGGATTCCCCCCTTGACGGGTGCTCTAAAATTAAAATTTGATAGATCTTCTGTTGAAACTCTAGATAGGGAATGGGTGGGGTGTGCACAAATAATAAAGGTAATGTAATTTTTTGTTACGCTGGCCTTTGTGGTATAACAACTGCAAATCATATTGAATTGACGGCATTACTACAAAGAATACTTATTTAGAAGGAGACTAATTTGAAAAATTCCTTATGCATAGAGTGTGACTCTTTGAATATCATCAACTAGTGCAATCAAATTTCGCAACCCCATTTCATCTTCAAACTATGAGGATGCAGATTATGGAGATTATAGTGGAAAATATTCTCAATTTCAATCATGTTTATATAGGGAAGCGAATGAAGTAGCTGATGATTTGGCTATGAAATGAGAATTGTTAGATTCTTTCATTGTATCTTCCCCTTTATTTTAATTTTCCTCGACTGTGATGGCCTTATCGATTGAATAAAATTTAACGACTCTTGTCAAAGAAAAAAACAATAATGTGGGAGCGTATTGAACCAATTTGATGTGTTGCCGTCGTTCTTGCAGACTTTTTGTGGAACTAACTTGTTTACTAATATGGCTTTGGGTTCGAACTTAAATACTTAAGATGTGTAAAGATTGCAACTTGAGCTTGAATTCCACTACTGAAGTATAAAAACTAAAAACATGTGCTACTTGATGTTTGTATGTCTCGTGGTGTTTCCTACAACCAAAAGACTTTGCGAATCTCTTAGGCCTTGTCTAGTTTCTGGAAATGGATATCCTGGGGAGATACTTCTCCTATACTTTGGAGCTCCTGATATTAGCATCTCTTGGAATATGGATTCCTACTGTTAGCATCTGACAAGAGACCTAGAAGATGTGTGGCCAATCTGATAAGAGACCTAGAAGATGTATGTCCATTGAGATTGTTATTTTATTAATATTTTGGGATGTGTGTGGCTGTGTGGCCTAATATGTGCCACATAATTTTTATTTCACTAAAATTTATTTTACCAAAATACTATGTTAGTTATTTATCTTTAAAAGGCTTTTTAGCGAAAGAAAATAACTTTTTCAACTGTTAATGGATAACTCTTATTTCTCATATTTTGAGGGTCATCTTGTCAAATATTCTAGGAGAAAGCCGAATGTTGAAATAATTGAACTCTCTATAAGATACGGTTAATTGGGTCATTTAAGACCACACATGAAAAAGCTTGGTTGAGAATGGCAAACACTAGGTCTATGTGATATACAGTCCATCGACATTGCTCTTCAAAATCTTAAATTTTAGGGAAGTTCACCACCCATCTTCTAAGAAACTCTTTCACCCCAGGGAGTTAATATATAGCTTGCTACTACCAGAGCATGCTATCGACTATCGACGCTCATTATTTTAAGGGTATAGTTTGTATAAAGTTACAATCTTATTTGTAGAAATAAAGTTGCTATACGCTATACTATTCATTTTATTTGAATGGTGTAAATTTGACATATTTTTTAAAAATAATGTCAATACAAAATGTCTTTTAAACTAATGGCTAATATATATTGTCTAAATAAAATGAAAGGTGTAGATTTCTATAACCTTATATAAACTTTATTCATTAACTTTTATATGTTGCACAAGTGTTTTCAACATCTCGCCCTTATATCACGTGTCTCTCTTACTAACCACACCCCATGTTCACCACTAGCACCAATCAAACCCTAAAAATAGGCTTATCCTCCCTCTCGAATGCCACAAAGTTAACAAGGCAAGCAGGAAGGAACAAAGTTAGGCATCATGAAGCAGTCTGTTCTAGAATTCTCTTTCTATCAATGGGGGAGGGAATTTTAACAAGGAAATAAGGAACAGGCTGGGCCTCTTCTAAGTTTTCTAAATTCTCTCGCCTCTCTGTCCATAAACTTTTAGATTGAAATTAGACTTTATGATGGCATTTATTTGGACTCTTGCAAGTGTTCATAGATTTAGTATTTGTAAAGTGCCACAATGCTTGATTCCCTTCTATCTTGCAACCCCACTGAGCCTTATCTTTGTCAAAAAATGCAATGTCATCTTCCGGACCCGGTCTAGCCAAGTAAAAATGACAGTGTTTGACAATTTGGGGTGTGTCATAAAGTTTGAAACCTTTTCTTAAACTGTAAACCCAGTTAATGCACCCAACATGTTATTCAACAATCAAAATTGATTGTGACTTTGTACTAAAGATAAATGATCTTTTATTATGTACTCTTTAAAGGAGAAGTGTTTTATGAGTCAGCGGGTGCAAGAGCCGGCTGACTCTTCAATGTCCATGGATGCTATGTGAAGTGCAGGGAGTCAAGTCATTTTTGAACGGTGCCAAAAACTTCCTAAAAAAACAAATTTTAAAGTTCAAATTTTTTTTTCTTATTTATGATTGGGTTGGCTTAGATGCTGAATCTCTAAAATTTTAGATTAAAATTGTATCTTTAAGGTGAATTTTAGTGGGGGGCGTTGTGTACATATGAGTCCACTCATAGCAACCCCATCCAAATTTTAGTTACATATGTTGTTCTGTACATACAGAAGGCTTCGCAACAAAGATTTGAATGATTGGCTTCTGAAAAATCACTTTCATTTCTTCCACAAGGATGTCGACCTCTCCTGCGAGCAATTAAAAATGATGGAAAAATATGTGACATTGATTAAATAGGGCACCTTTTGACACCATTACAGATGGGTACGTCTTACCTTTTAATTATGTATGTGCCTTTTGTTGCTGCCATGATAAAATTGAGAATAACACACTCACCCTTAAGAGTTTCGACAAGGGAAGAGGTTAAATGAAGCATACTTTATTTGAGAAAATGTAAAAATAATAATAATAATAATAATAATAATAATAATAATAATAATAATAATAATAAAAATTATTTTTATTTTGTTTTCTCCCTACATGTGCAAGCATACGTGTATTGCCAATGCAGAACATTTCCCTTCAAAGCCCAACTAATACACATAAGATGACACAAATCTTATTTTCTTAAAAAAGCAACAAAATCTTTTTTCCATTATCCAAACACATGGATCAGCAAACCTTTTCTCTCTCTAAATGAGTGCCTTCTCTCTTTATCTCTCTCTCTCTAAAATGAGTGCCTTTTTCCATCTGTCTCTTTCTCTCACCTTTGCTTGGACGCTAAGCAAGGAACCCAAATCCCAGGGCTTCTTGGGTCTGAGGCATTCCTTACCAATTAAACTCAAGCACGCCATTCACATTCATTCCCTCGCACTTTTTTTTGTTAAACCCATTATATAATTGTTTCAATAAATATTTCATGAATCATACTTCTTACTTTAATAGTTTTATAAGAGACATGGAAAGATTTATTTTATTTCATTTTATAAAAGGTTAAAATAAGGTCGAGGCTTTATAGAAAAGAAATAAACTTTTATCTCATAAATGAAAATTATAAATGCAGTGTCGAAAAACTTTTAAAACTATCATCTCAACTTTGATCATTATGGTTGTAAAAGAAATTAGGATTTAAAACTCTAAAATTAGTGTATATCAAATAATACATTATTTAGACTGTTCATTTTCAAGTGTTCATGAATCCGTAAGTCCTGTACCATTTTTTGAGCTACAAATTTCATAATCAGCAGTGGAAATGGATTTTAGAGCCATCTAAAAATTTCTCATATCCGATGTGATTTTCGACAAGATTTTAAGATGAGGCTTTACTTTTTCTTACATAAGGCCTAGGTCTTATAGAAACTGCATCGTTATTTTATTGTAAATAAATTTGTAAAATTGGAGTGAGAATCGTGGAATAAAAGCAAGTAGAGGGATAGTTGCGAAATATAGCGTAAGAACAGTGGCAGAGTTGATGCTCCAAGCTTATATACACCAGCAACTCGAGGAAGGAGGCACACAAGGAACATGGCGATGGCCTTCAAAATGGTAATAAACCCTCTCCCCTTCAATAATTCTCTGTTAATTCTAGAGAGAGAGAAAGGGGGGGGGAGAGAGAGTTATGGAAATGATGGTTTATTTTGCAATGCAGGGGACGACTGGTTTAGGTGTGACAGAGGAATGCAAGAGCTCTTTCATGGAGCTGAAAAAGAAGAAAGTGCATAAATACATTGTTTTCAAGATAGATGAGGGATCGAGAGAGGTAAGGGTCGAGAAAGTTGGGGCATCGGATGCGAGCTACCACGACTTTGCCACCTCTCTTCCCCACGACGACTGCCGATATGCCGTCTTTGATTTCGACTTCCTCACCTTGGATAACTGTCACAAGAGCAGGATCTTTTTCATCCAATGGTCCACTTCTTTCTCTCTAACTCCTCTCTCTCTCACACATGTATATAATGTTTCATGGGGTTTTTATTTGTTTGATCAGGTGTCCAACAGCATCGAGGATTAGAGCAAAGATATTGTATGCAACATCAAAGGGTGGATTGAGGAGAGAGCTGGACGGTGTTCATTACGACTTACAGGCTACAGACCCAACTGAGATGGGTATTCAGGTCATCAGAGACACAGCCAAATAACCAATGTTCAAAAACTCGACTCGGCTAAGACACTTAAACACTGGCTGACGCGAGTTACTCAGCCGAGTCTTTTCGTAGAGTAACTTTTTTTTGTCTCTCTCCATACAACAAACTCTCTTTGGTTGTATATTTTTGAGTTTTTCCTATTGTAAGTTATATGAGGAAGTGGAGCATGTGCAAATAAACCTTGGCATGAAAATGAGTGGTAGCTTAATCCAGTAGTTATGAACTAAAATTTCAAAAATAGAAACAGTTGTAAAATCAAGATGCGTGTTTGAACCCTTTCTTTTGGGGGTAGTTCAGCAGCTCTTTTCAATTCATCTCAATCAAAATCCCTCTCTTACTTTTTTTCAAATCAGAAATCATCTAGATTTATTTTTCTAAATTCTTCTTCATTGTCTAAATCTATTTCTCTCTCATATTAATGCTATGCATTTGGGATTTTTTTCTCTTCTATTGGCAATCTTTTTTGTTTTTGGTTGAAAGTTTCTTCCATTGCCAATGTTATTGACAATTTTCCAATCCCATGAGGAGTTGTGTGTAAAGGACAGGATTCACCAAAACCATGCAAGAACTCTCCCGAACTTTGTTTAAACTCAGATTAGGGAGAGGAATTTGAAATTAAAGAGTCCACCAGAGAACGATCATCTTCCTCTTGGATGCTTCAAATTGCCCCATAAATGACAGATTTTTTATTTTCCATTGCCGCAATCCGTATTGTAAACGACAAGTATACAATAAGATCGTTTATCTTAAAGAGAACACCATCATTTTCAGTATTGGATGTGAAATTATGTCGTTAAAGTTATGCCATAGACTAGGCTCAAAAATTCCCAAAAAAAAAGAAAAAAAATTGAATTTTACGAAAAGAAAAATTGTTTCATGCAGGCTGGACCGTATGACTACATATGGGGTCCAAAAAGTGTAAAGCATCTTAAGGATCGATGCAAATAGGTGTTCCATCAAAAAACAATGGAACTAACAGTCCAAATGTTTTCTTACTAGACTTATCCTTTTAAATTTACTTATTTTTTCATATTCATGATCTCTATATCCTTAAAAATTAAGTCCAAAATTCCATCTCAAAAATAGATTTATTAATAAGCCTACATTTCTACATATGCAACCAAAGCCGAATAGAAACCGGGTTTTAATAAAAACCTTAAACAGTCATATTTGATTTTATAGTTGATGGTTAAAGATGATTGTAAATTTTTTAGAATAAAGAAATACGGTAAAATATAAAATAAAACCATTCACTTTTTGTACAAAGTGGTCACATTAATCTTGACCATTGAATGTGAAATTGGGAGGCTGCAATTATTCCATCGATCAAGTTCAAATTTCAAAATGAAATTTTCTTTAACTCTGTGACACAGCCAAGCTATCAAATTTCACGTCCGATGATTTTAAGTAATTGTGACCACTTTGTATCAAATCAAAGGTATACAATCCCGAAAGATAAATAGTCTTTATATAATTTATATTCTAAACGGTCTCGAACTAAATGAAAAAGATTACATTATCTGCCAAACGCAAGTGTACACTTATATCCTCCAGCAAAACCCCGGTGAGGATAATTTTTTGGACACGGAATTTTTATGTAACATATTCGTCCTAACAACCAGGACTTGCATGCACACCCTAAAAGTCAAAACAATCTTAGCCAAGACAAGCCATTGAATTTTCAGACGATTAGAACCACAATTTTTTTAAAAGCTATTTTTTAATATTGAATTATTGGCATGGTGATTTTTACATAAATTTGAGAATTTGACATCAAATTCTTTTGTCCGGGGAGCAGATATACAATATACTCCCACGAGGGTACCCAGGCGAGCCAGCTCGGACTCGCTCGGTTAACTCGGGCTCATTACCCAAGTGAGCTAGAGTATCCTCGAGTTGGGTGACCTACTCGGAGATCTTAAACAATTTTAAAAAAAAATCATTTAACCAAACGAAATTTATTAGTCACATGTTTTTTCATGTTTTCTATTAATTTGGCAAATATTGGAAAGTGTTTTGGCCATGAACATTTTTTCTCTTCTATTTGAATTATTTTTAAAATATCCCCATTACAATTTGATTTTTAAAACCTATTTTTTCACTACTTTTTAAACCTCATTTATATGTGTTTTGTTTAATGTTATTTTAACTATATTTTCCTATTTTTCAATTTTTTTAAGGAAAAAACTTATATAGAGCCGAGGCTCTAAACCATCAAATTTGAGCCTACCTCAAAACGTTTACTAGAAGAGGTTGTTTTGATGCCTAAATATCTTTAAATTGATCATCTCGACATCAAGATACATGGATATGAAAAAAAAATGGATTTCAAGTTTTGAAAATAGTGTATTTTGTAATGTATTTTTTGACAGTCAATTTTCAAGTTTTCATAGATCAATCAATCTACACTATTTTTTAAGCTTCAAACTTTATAAATTAATATAAAATTATATTTTAAAGCTATCACAATGATTTTCAGTATTGAAAGTACATTTCTCAATAGTATTTGAAAATATGTTCTAATTTGATTGATTAGATAAGCTCTATACCAACCGCAACCAATTTTTAATATTTTTAAATTTTTAACACTTTTTTGCCTTGACCAAAACTTTGCCCAGAATTACACAAAATTTGGACCTGGGCCGAGCACCCGAGCCACTATTTCCTACACTGCCCAAAAGTACGCAGAATCAATGGGATGAGGGCCCTACTCATAAAGATGTGCCAAGGATATCTAGGGATCCGGTGCTTCAGTGCTGGAACGGCTGCACCCATGACTACACTTTTTACTATCTAAATATTCTATTTATTAATATGCACCCACAAGTGCATGTTCACTATTTAGTATTCTACTTTCCAAAAAAAAAGGTTAAATTGAAAAATATATGGACCCGGTTTCTATGCGACCAAGTTTGCATATGCAAAAATGCCGACTTTTTAATAAATATATTTTTTATATATATTTTAAAACTTAAGTTTTAAGAACATGTAATTTCTAACATAAAGATCATGAATATGAAAAAGAAATAAATTTTAAAAACTGGAAATAATAATTTTAGTAAAAAATCATTTGAACAGTTAGTTTCCGTTGTTTTTATAAAAAACATCTATTTACATCCATCTTTATAATAGATGCTTTACACTTTCTAGACCGTATATATAGAAATCCAGTCCAGCCCGCATAAAACAATTTCCCAAAACATATTGTTAGTTACTTAGGATGAGATGACACAATTATGATAGTTTATAAGGAGAAATGATGGTGTGCTTGCCCGGAGCACCCCTGTTGGTGTTAACCACCTTGGATTTGCATGAGGTACAAACAGTCTCAAATCATGCTCCTCGAAATGTATTTGATTTGGTGCTTTTAATCTCAAAATACCCTGGATCAACTAATCAATTTGTTGTACACCAAATATTTTTAGAGTGGGCGAGTCTCGTTACGGATTTTCTTTTCTTTCTTTTTTTTTCTTCTTTCTAATCCCTGTGCGCCTCACAAAAGGTTTTTGAGTTGGAAAAAACAACATTGTGATTGGGAGCCTTGCATTTTCCCCTTTCTGCCTAGTGATTTAGAGAGCATAAATATTCTCTATCTAATAATTTGGAGAGAGTGAGTGTTGGGGAGTGATGCTAAATCAACTCCCATGGTATTCACCTTTTTTATAAATGGCAATCTCGTTAAGAAAATATGCTTTTTGGTGAAAGCATGGGTGAATGAGAGAAGGGTTTCTTTAATAGACAAAGAAAAAGGGTTTCTTTAATAGACAAAAAACATGGGTGAATGAGAGAAGGAAGGAAACATTGTAGAGAGAGAAGCTTGGGTTGAAAATTGGGGGTTTTTACAACAAAACCCTAGCACCACCATTTAGGGCTCATCTTGGGCCATTTTGTCGACATTTCTTCGTGGCATCGGTAAATCGAAGAAATGAGTCGTTTGTAGGTGGTTCTATGGAAGGAAGTTCTTTGTTTGAACACTCCTTAAGATTATATGAGGTAACTCTCTATAACCTCAATTTTGTAATTTTTTATCTTGATAGTGAATACACTTTTGCCGTCTTGCCCGTGGATGTAGCTCATTTTGGGTGAACCACGTATATGTGCATGTTCCTCTCTATTTTCATTTGTGTTGTGTTTTGAAGATTTCTCATATTGCTTGTTTTATTGTTTTTATATTTTTTCCGAATTATATTGCATCTTGCGCATGTTATTTGAGTGTTGAAATCATTGTGGTGGAGTGCTCACTACATCTAGTGGGTTTTGAAATATCTCGATGTGCTCTAAAGGGGCGATTGGGTTATCTCGAATTTACTACAAGTGGTATTAGAGGTCAAGGAATTAGTGTAGTATTTTTGGAGAAAATGTCATCTCACAAGTTTGAGGTGGAGAAGTTCAATGGAAAAGATAATTTTGAAATTTAAAAATTAAAAATACATGATTTATTAGTACATCAAGAGCAACACAAAGCATTGCTTGGAAAAGATAAGAAACCAGTAACTAGAAAATAGATGATGATTGGGACGAACTGGATAAGACGGCACGGGGCCACTATTCGCTTATGTTTAGCGAATGAGATTTTGTTTAATATTGTTGGTAAAAAGACGGCAAAAGATTTGTGGGAAAAATTGGAAAATTTGTATCCAACAAAATATCTCACAAACCGAGTTTTCTTAAAGAGAAAATTGTATATCTTGATAATGAAAGAAGGTGCAAATGTGTCACAGCACTTGAATGAGTTTAATAACCTCATTTGTCAACTTGATGGATGATGAAGATAAGGCGGTCACCTTACTTTGTTCATTGCTGGATTCTGATGATAATCTTATTACTTCAATGAGTTGTAGTAAAGAGGATTTTCTTGATTTAGGCTCAGTGTGTAGTGCCCTACTTGCTTATGAACTTCGAAATAAAGCATCTTTGGGAAATTCGGTAGAATCAAAGACGGAAGCTCTTGTGGTAAGAGCTCGATCGAATGAACGGGGTGATTCATCGAGGAATCATTCAAGAAGTAATTCAAGATTTCGATCAAAATCTATAGGGCCAAATGACAAGAATGTATGTTAGCATTGTGGGAAACCCGGTCATATAAGGAAGAATTGTTTTAAAAAGAATGGAATGAATTCTTTCAAAGCTCCTAATGCGGTAGGTGAAAAGGCAAGTGAATCTAAGAATGAAGCAAATCAAGTTGAAGAGTTTACATCTGGTTTCATTGAAGATAAAGTATTGATGGTGGCATATAATTCAATATTCTATCAAAATTGG